CCCCAACCCCCTGATGGGCCCTGCGCTGTGCATGACAGGGGGCGGCGCCCCAACTCCCCAATCGGCCCTGCTCTGAGCCCGACCAGGGGCTGCACCTAGGGATGAGGCCTGCCCTCTGCCACCCGGGAGCAGGCCTAAGCCAGCAGGTCGTTATCTCCCGAGGGGTCCCAGCCTGCGAGAGGGCACAGGCCGGGCTGAGGGCCCCCCCCTCCCCCCCCCTCGAGTGTACAAATTTTTGTGCACCGGGCCTCTAGTATTGAATAAAAGTGTTGAAAGTGGGCAATTTCTTCTTTTTCCTGATCTTAAGGAAAATGTCTTTAGCTTTTCATCATTGCACAGGATGTGGCTGTGGGTTTGTCACTCGTGACCTTTCTTGTGGTATGTGTGCTCTCTTCCTACTTTATGAGAGTTTTTATCATAAATGGATGGATTTTGTCATACGCTATTGCTGCAACTGTTGTTATGGTCATATGGTTATCATGCTTTGTTTTATGTATGTGGTGTCTTATGCTAATTGATTTGTGGTTATTAAACCAACCTTGCATCCCAGGAATAAATCCTACTTGATCATGGTCTATAATCTTTTTAATGTATTTCTGAATTCAATTTGTTGTGGGGTTTTTTTCGGATTTTTGCATCTCTATCAGGAATATTGGCGTATACTTTTCTCTACTTTTTTTTGTATGTCTTTGTCTGACTTTAAAATTAGGGTAATGCTGGGTTCATAAAATGAACTTGGGAGCCTTCCCCCCTCTTCAATGTTTGGAATAGTTTGAGAAGAATAGGTGTTAAATCTTCTTGCAATTATTTGGTAAAATTCCCCTGTGAAGTTATGTGGTCCAGGACTTTTATTTGTTGGGAGTTTATTATTATTATTATTATTGATTCAATTTCATATGTTCTTGAGTGTCCTAGTCATATTCTAGTTATTGTTCTGTTCAGATTTTCTGTTACTTCTTTATTTAGTCTTGGCAGATTGGTTCTTTCTTCTTTCTTCCTTCCTTCCTTCCTTCCTTCCTTTCTTTCTTCTTTCTTTCTTTCATTCTTCTTTCTTTCCCCTTACCTGAGGATATTTTTCCACTGACTTTTAGAGAGGGTGGAAGGGATTGGGAGAGACACAGAGAGAGAAACATCAAAGTGAAAGAGAGAAACATTGATTGGTTGTCTCCCACACATGCCCCTGCCGGGGCCAGGGAATCAAATCTACAACCAAGGTATGTTCCATTGACCGGAATTGAACCCAGGACCTTCAGTCCACAGGCCGACACTTATCCACCAGCTAGGGCCAGATTGTGTGTTTTTAGGAATTGATCTATTTCTTCTTCTATTTTTTTAATTGATTTTTTAAAATTTTGTTTTATTGCTTTAAGTATTACAAAGAGTATTACATATGTCTCCTTTTGATCTATTTCTTGATTGTCTAGTTCAGTGGTTCTCAACCTTCCTAATGCCACGACCCTTTAATATAGTTCCTCATGTTGTGGTGACCCCCAATTTCATTGTTACAAATTGAGCATAATTAAAGCATAGTGATTAATCACAAAAACAATATGTAATTATATATGTATTTTCTGATGGTATTAGGCGACCCCTGTGAAAGGATCGTTCGACCCCCAAAGGGGTTGCAACCCACAGGTTGAAAACCACTGGTCTAGTTTGTCGGCATTTAATTGTTTGTAGAATTTTTCTATAGTTTTTTGTATTTCTGTGGTGTTGTTACTACTCCTCTTTCATTTCTGATTTTGTTTATTTGGTTTCTCTCTCTTTTTTTCTTGATGAGTCTGGTTCAATAAATATCAATCTTGTTCATCTTTTAAAAGAACTAGCTCTTGGTTTCATTGATCTTTCTTTAACAATTTTTAAAAATATGTATTTTTACCCATTTCAGAGAGGAAGGGAGAAGGAGAGAGAGATAGAAACATCAGTGATGAGAGAGAATCATTGTTCAGCTGCCTCCTGAACAATGGGGATCAAGCCCACAACCTGGGCATGTGCCCTGACCAGGAATCACACCATGATCTCCTGGTTCATAGATAGATGCCCAACCACTAGGCAACACTGGCCAGGCTCATTGATCTTTTGTATTGTTCTTTAGAATCTGTTTTCTTTATTTCCACTCTGACCTTTATTCTCTCTTTTCTCCTACTCACTTTGGCTTTGCTTGTTATTATTTTTCTAGTTCCTGTAGGTGGAAGGTTACATGGTTTATTTGAGATGTTTCTGATATTTTAAGGTAAGCCTGTATATCTATGACTTTCCCTCTTAGAACTGCTTTGGCTGTGTCCCGTAAGTATTGAGTTATTTTGTTTTCATTTTCATTTGTTTCAAGGTATCTTTTGATTTTTTCCTTGATTTTGTTGTTTACATATTTATTGTTTAGTAGCATGCTATTTGGCCTCAATGCGTTTTTCAGTTTTGTTATTGATTTCTCGTTTCATATCATTGTGATTGGAAAAGATGCTTACTCTGATTTTGATCTTCTCAAATTTGTTGAGAAATATTTTGTGACCTAACATGTGTCTAATCTGGAAAAGTTTGCACTTGAAAATAATTTATTTATAATCTACTATTTTGGCATGAAATGTTCCAATAATATCAATTAAATCCACCAGGTCTAATGTGTTATTTAATGCTGTTCTTTCCTTCTTAATTTTCTGTCCATGGACATCGACGGGTGTTAAAGTCCCCTGCCATTACTGTCTTACTCTTTGTGTCCACCAACATTTGTTTTATGTATTTAGGTGCTCTTACGGTGGGTGCCTAAATATTTATAAGGGTTATATCTTCTTGTTGGGTTGATACCATTTATAAAATGTCTGTCTTCATCTCTTGTTATTGCCTTTGTTTTAAAGTCTATTTTGTCTAATATAAGTATTGCTACCCCGTCCTTTTTTCTATTTTCATAAAAAATATTTTTTATCCCTCTGCTTTCAGTCTGTGAGTGTCTTTTAATCTGAAGTGCGTCTTTTGTAGGTGACAAATGTATTAGGTTTGTTTTCTGATCTAGTTAGCCCCATGATGTCTTTTGATTGGAGCATTTATTTCACCAACATTTAAAGTAATTATTGACAGGTATCTACTTATTATCACTTTATTATTCATTTTTAAAATTTTTCTTCTTAAATTAATTTTTCATTTTTTTTGTAACACTGACTTAGTGATGCTAAAGTTCTCTAGCTTTTTCTTGTCCAGAATAAATAGTCATTTTCCTTGCCTTTATAAGGGAGGTTGTTTGGCTGCTCCTGCACTAGAAAGCTATGTGCATAGAAACTTTATTACAGCAAAGAATAGAAATGATTTCCAAACAATAGCTAGATGTTTAAGCAAGTTATGGTATGTCCATAGAATGGAATATTAGGTAGCCATTAAAAATTATATGTGCAAGCATAGCTAAATGTTTTTCAAAAAATATTTTTATTGATTTCAGAGAGAAAGTGAGAGAGAGATAGAAACATCAATGATGAGAGAGAATCATGGATCAGCTGCCTCCTGCATGCCCCACACTGGGGATCAAGCCTACTACCTGGGCATGTGCCCTGACTAGGAATCAAACCGTGACCTCCTGCTTCATAGGTTGATGTTCAACCACTGGGCCATGCTGGCCTGGCCACAAGGAAATATTTTTAATGCTCCTTAATGGTCTAGGAGAATTATGTGTGATGCTTACTAATAACAGAGACAGACTAGTGTTTATCAATGAGAAAAAGAAGCATAAAAACAACCATAATAGGTACAAAAAATATTAATTACAGTTGCTTCTCAGCAGAGTGGTTTTCCTGCTACTGTGTACTTTTTTCTGTACCAGAGGTTTTCTTTATTCAGCACATATTTAACTTTTAGCACAAAAGGGAAAAGATGAACAAGACAAGCGATGGAAGTGGCGGGTGGGGAGAAACCGGACTGCCCACTGTCTGCCTGACATGACTAAGATGGCGGTACCCTGGGGGCGAGCACGTGGGGGGACTTTAGGGTGCCAGGCTGGTCGATCTTTGCTCACTCACTAAAGCGCTATAATAGCTTCTGTCTGAGGGAGTGCCACAGACCCCCATTCTGGTCTGGCCAGTTCTAATCCCATGCCGCTTTGTGACCCTGGGCCAGTCGGCCTGCTGGTTCCCTGGTTATCAGCCTTTCTGGAGAAAATGTCTGAAGACCTTTCTAGGAAACAGGATAAGCAGGAGATCCCAGTCATGGAGAAGTGGGTGTTCTTTCTAAAAATAAAGACAAGCTTCTCTCAACATCCTGTTTTTCCTCTAACCTTCAGTCTCTTCCAATCCTGCTGATAACTAATATTTGTTTTATCTCTTCCAGGAAATGATCGAAACAGCCTAGATTTCAACAGGCAGGTAAGAACTTTCAAAACAAAACCTTTATTCAATTAATGTGGGGGGTCATTTGCACTATGCCAGATGTGGGAGAAACCAAAAAGATTAAGTGTTTATTCAAGGACCCTACATTTGCCGATTGGAAGGGGCATTTAAAAGGCTTCTGCCTCCAACCCACCATCCAACACCTGGGTCCCCTTTCACTCTCCCCTCAAAAGAGCACCACAGCGCAGCCCCTCTGAGAAGGACCCGCCAGATGGGTCGGGAATCTAGACAGCGGCTCCTTCCGCCAGCTCCACCGCACCGCCCCCTGGCCCCGCTGGTTTCCGTCGACTGACCGTGTACAGAGGAATTTACGGAAGTCCAACGTGCAGTGCCTGCATTCCTCGTGGAATTCCTGATTTGCAGGAAGTAGAGAGTGACAAAAAGGAGAAACGGCTCAGAAAGAGCTCAGAGGGCGGGAGTGGCCACGCTCCGTGGAACAGTGTAGGCGCAGGCCCGGTGCCTTTGCAGGAAATCGAGTTGGTGGGTTGGAGTTAGTCAGGGAGGGACTTGGGTGGGGCCAGGCAGCGCTGGATGGATCACAGGGTGGATGGATGTGGATGTGTGAAGAGAAGGGAGGAGGGGTTAGCGGCTGTGGGAAGCGGGGTGCGGCTGGGAGGGGATGTGGCAGGAGCTTGTTGGGGGAGGTCTAAGGTGAGACAGACAGGAGCAGCGCTGGGGGGCTCCCGGGGTGAGTCCGAGAACACCGGAAGCCTGGCTTTGGTCCTGTTCCTGCCACTAACCCGCGAGATTACTGGGTCAGGCCTCTTTGTTTGGATCTGAATTCTCAGCTGCAGAATAAATTTACTTCATAAACTCGGGGTGGGGCTTGGGGGAGATGTGCTATGTCAGGTGTAGGAATACAAAGAAAATTAAGATATGGTTCTTGACCTGGAGGAGTCCACAGTCCAGCATGGAGTGTGGGGGGTAGAGATAGAAGGAGAATGAGAGGGAAAGGGAAGGAGGGAGGGAGCAGGGAACAGAGAACTAGAGACTCTTTTTCATTTTTCAGTATTTCAATTGTATGGTTTTTTAAAATTGATTTTTAAAGAGAGAGGAAGGGAGAGGGAGAGAGAGATAGAAACATTGATGAGAGGGAAACATCATCCATCGGCTGCCTCCTACACGCCCCCCACTGGGGATCAAGCCCACAACCCTGGCATGTGTCCTGACTGGGAATCAAACCAGCGACCTCTTGGTTCACAGGCCGACGCTCAACCACTGAACCACACCAGCTGGGTGAGATAGAGACTCTTGAGTGAATACTTATAGTACAGTCTCATGCATACTACAGATATGTAAAAAGCATGGTGTCATCCAGCTGGTATGGCTCAGTGGTTGAGTGTTGACCTATGAAACAGGAGGTTTGATTCCCGGTCAGGGCACATGCCCAGGTTGCAGGCTTGATCCCCAGTGTGGGGCACGCAGGAGGCAACCGATCAGTGATTCTCTCTCTTCACTGATGTTTCTATCTCTCCTTCTCCCTTCCTCTCTGAAGTCAACACACACACACACACACACACACACACACACACATTTAAAAAGCATGGTGTCAGACAGACATGGGAACCTCAGGGCAGGCTTCGTGGAGAAGGAATGTTTGTGTCGCGCTCTGAAGGGTGAGTAGGCATTTGTTAGGCAAAAAAAAAAGTAGACTGGAGAGGGAGTGTCCGTGGGGAAGGGAAGGTGGCCCCCAGGTGGTCATGCATTGGGTGGCCACTGGGGTCTCTTCCCTCGCTGAACGTCTGAGTCCAGGTTTAGACGGAAGCCTGGGGTGGGGCGGGAGATGACATGCAGACATGTTTTCCTCCTTCATCTGTAGAGGGGTTTGATGTCACTGCTAAGGTTTCCTGAAAGACTTTTCACTCTGGGTGTGTCCCTCACAGTCAGAGAGGAATGAGCCTGAGTCCCGAGCCGGAACCTCTCCTGGAGGCGACTGCTGCGATTGCTTTCATTGGGGACAGTCGCTGAGGAGTGGAGGCCAGCCCCTCCCTCTTCACTTGAGACCTGAAACAGAGACTTCACTGGAGCCCTCCGGGCGGGCGAGGAGGAAGCACCCGCAGCCAGGCAGCTCAGTAAACATTGGAACTGCTACCAGGGAGAGAGGCTGGGACACTGCCTGCGGGTCTGGCTGATAGCACTGGGCTTCTCACTCACGGTCTTTAAATAGGAGACAGATTCTTATCTAAGGGATAGCTGGGCCAGGTCTGCTTCCATCCCCGGATTCTGTGAATCTGCCTGAGTCCTACGCAGAGGAGATGGGGCCTGTGCCCCGAGCTTCCTGCCCTGCAACTGAGGATCCAGCCCCCGGCCCTTGGGTGAGATGCACAGGGGGGAGCCCAACCCACACCAAGATGTGCCCCCACAGCCCAGCCCAGGGATGGCCCACGTCATAGGCCCCGTGGGCTAGGCTGCAAGTGCAATCTTTCTTGAGAAACCCTCACGCTCTGGACATGGCTGGGGCAGCCCTCTGGCCTGGAGAGGTCCCTGGCCTTTGGACATCGTTTGGGGTGTGGCCTCTCCCCCAGTTGGGAGAAAGTTTCCTGGCTGCTGCCAGAATGGGGCTTTCCTAGAGAGAACTCGCCCCCTCCCATCCCCCGCCAAGGGCTTGGATCCGGTCACTGATGAGAACGGACATGACCGGTTTCTGTAAAGAGGGGATTTGCCCCTGTCCCTACACCAGCTTTAGGGAGAGGCTGAGCGTGACCTCACAGTGACTGCCTGGGAGGCAATGGGAGGAGGAGGGAGTGGGGAGAAGGAAAAGAGGTTGTGTAGGAACAGCCTGAGTGTTAGCAGACACAGGAGAGCAAACGATGAGCCACTGCTCTGGGTGAAGCCTGGCTGAGGCCCCAGGAAGCTGGTGTGACTGGGAGCTGGTGTGACTGGGAGTTTGGGACTGGGAGTTCGTGTGACTGGGTGTTGGTGTGACTGGGAGCTGGAGTGACTGGGAGCTGGTGTGACTGGGAGCTAGTGTGACTGGAAGTTTGGGACTGGGAGCTGGTGTGACTAGGAGCTGGTGGGACTGGTGGAACTGGGAGTTGGTAGGACTGGGAGCTGGTGTGACTGGGAGTTGGTGTGACTAGGAGTTAGTGTGACTGGGAATTGGGGACTGGGAGTGGGTGTGACTGGGAGCCAGTGGGACTGGGAGTTCCACCAGCTGCTGGATAGACTGCAGCCCTGAAGGCTTTCACTCTGATGCAAGAGAGGCCTGTGCAGTGCTGCTGTAGGAAGCAGCAGACCATGCCAAGGAGAGAGATCCTAGCAGCGAGGTCAAGTGTGCAGGCCTGCAGCTAGACTGCCTGTGTGTGGACCTGGGCTTAGCACCACCTGCTGGGTGACCTTGGGCAAGTACTTGAGCTTCTTGTCCCTTATTCTCCTCATCTGTAAAGTGGGGAGAATAACGACACTTATCCCACAGGATTGCTGTGAGGGTCAAATGAGTGAGTGAGCCTGAGTGTGAGACCTCTTAGACAATGACCTAGAACATATACAGGGTGGGGCAAAAGTAGGCTTACAGTTGCCCTCATGTGCCCCCAGAGAGCATTGAGCTATAAATAAGATGGGATTTTCCTTCATTTTTTTAAATGGAACTACCGTGGCTCTCTGGCTGCCCCTGGTATGTGTTGACACAGCGTTTAGTTGGCTCAACAGGATGTCTCTAAACATCAACAGAATTCAGCCAAAGAGAAGGGCTCTGAGATTCCAAAGTGATGAAGGGGCTGCTCCTAGGAGTCAGGAGCAGGCGGCCAGCCTGAACCTCAGGCTGCAGGGAAGGGTCTGAGTGTTGGCAGGGTTAGCTCCCTCTGCCCTCAGGCTCCCACCCCCTACCCCCTCACACACCTCACCCCCCCAGCCCGCGCGAGCAGCCTCAGAGCTCCCTGAGCAGCTGAGTGGGAGAGGACAGGGGAGGAATTCACTGGTGGCATTTGCCTGTAGGTCATGGATCTGCTGTGAGCCAGTTAGTGAGGAGTCACAGGGGACTCACGCATGTTCCCTGGCCACAGAGCACCCAGACAGGGGACAGCATCCGGCAAAGGCCGCGCAGGACAGGAAGGGCCCTGCACCCTGACGCTGGCCATGGCTAGCTCAGTGTGGGAGGGAAGCCCGGCAGGTGGTGGGCTTGAAGCCTGGAGGCTTGGCGCCGTCCCTGTGCGAGGCCTAAGGGTGAGGATGCTGCATCGCAGGGGCCTGCCCTCGGCCCAGCGAATGCAAAGTGCTGAGAGCTAGAAACCCACCCCCACACTCAGAAGCCATGCCCGCTTGCAGTCACCCCAGACCCCAGGGAGGTAGATCACTTCTGCCAGGAGGCAGGAACCTAGAAATGCCAGGCAGTGGAGAGGGAGGCGGCCCTGGCCCTGGGAAGGGCCCTCGGAAGCCCGCCCAGCCTCTGCCCTCAGAACACGTCAGTGCTATCAGGAGCAGCGCTCCGGAGCGTGTCGCGCAGGTAGAGCCAGGCTGCCTCCTGCCGAGGGGAGCAGGTTTGCTGGGGGAGGGGCAGACACATGGCGCTAGGCCGGTCACCCGTGCGATAACACACCCTCCCCACAGCTGGTTCCCCATAGTTAGATGATATACCAACAATTGTATTTATGGGATTGTGCCTGTGTCTACTTCCCAGGCATGGTGTAAGGCTGAATGAGAATGAAGATCTATAATTTAGAATAGTCTCTTGATATACAATGATCAACCAATAAGCATTAGCTCCTGGTGTTTTCTGATGAATGAGAACCCATCATTTTTTTCCTCTCTCTCCTTGTGTAGCTGCCAAGCTGGGCTTGTACCCCTTTGGATGGGCTGCAGATGCTACTAGAAAGGAGTGTTTTCTGAGATCCATGATCTGTCCATCTAAGGCCCCCTCCACCCCACAGCCTGGTGGGAAGTGGTTGATGAGTAGGTTGAGGAGTGTCGTTGCTCTTGGAGAGGAGGGAGTTTGTCCCTCTTTGCCAACCATCCTTGGCTCTTTGGCCTGAGGCCCAGAT